GCTGGTCTCTGACCTTTCGGTCTCAACTGGCATGAACAAGGACGGGCTGACATGGACACAAGTACGTCTATGCTGTCAGCTGTGGATGGTTCAGCAAAATATCAAGGCCACATTCACCCCATCCCCAAGCCCCGATGCAAGATTCAGACAGGTTCACTCAGTCAGTCAGTGTATTTGAGAGAAATAGGCGTACGCCTTTGAACTCCCTATTTGTACAGAAAAAATCGATAAATTGGCAGAATGTGAAGAAATTACAGCATTAAATGAATGCAGCCACTGATTCACATATGTCATTTGTCTCATGGCAAAAAAGTCACATAGTCCGCTTGTTGCTGCAGCATATGTCTGTCAAGCCGGCATTTAAATGTCGCCACAGATTGAGACATGACAAGCGTCTCGGGCAGGTTATTCCATGGTTCCACGACACGGTTGGAGAAGAAATACTTCCTCACATTCAATCTACCCTGGAGCACACGTAGCTTGAAGGGATGTCCCCGGAGGTTAGTTGTTGTGGCAGGTTGGAAAAAGTCATCGTACCGGAGGGCGCAGTCCAAAGCACGCACGATACGGAAAGTTTATATCAAGTCTCCGCGCAACTGCCTATATCTTAATCTAATCACTTCTCTTCGTAATGAGCGGCAGTCAGTGGTAGTTATTTACTTTGCTCTTAGCAAAGCCTTTGACAAGGTGCCCCATAGACGTCTTTTAGTAAAATTGGAAGCTTTCGGCATCCGGCCGCCTCTACTCGACTTCATCAGGTCCTATCTGTCCAACCGATATCAGAAAGTCATGGTCGGTAATAGCTTTCGACACCCCACTCGATCACGAGTGGCGTACTCCAAGGAACGGTTCTGGGTCCGCTACTGTTCCTTCTGTACATCAATGATATTTCGACTGAACTCGGAAATTCGCAAACTTTTACTTATGCCGATGACCTCAAGTGTGTTTACTCATACTCTAAGGACACCGCAAATGTTTTTGTTGAAAAAATAAATGCCCATCTACTACGCTTAAGCAGATGGGGTTCGACATGGCAGATGGAGTTTTCATCATTCAAGTGTAGTTTCATGTCTTTTGGTCCTACCAAACTTCCTGGTCCCATAATTTTTCAGAATAACCCACTCTCAGAATGCCTCACCATAAAGGACCTAGGTCTAAGTTATACAAATAAACTTGCTTTATCACCTCATACAGATAGAATCTCTGCCAAAGCCGCGCAGATATGTGGATTCATATCGCATGATTTTTTCCTTCCGGAAATGAAGCTAAGACTTTATCAAATGTTTGTTCTTCCAGTCCTCGAATATTGCTGTCCTTTCTTCGGTTTAATGAACGCCTGCGACCGTAATAAAATCGAAAATGTTCAGAGGGTTTTCACTCGGAAACTGTTCTCTCAAGCTTCGTCCAGTATTTCTTATAGTCAGAGATGTCAGCTGGCGAAGATTAAGTTTTTGTGGGTTAGAAGACTCGAAGCTGGCCTTTGCTTCCTTTTTCGCATCAACTCTAGCTCCAGTCTTCCGCACATTGACACTCTCACTCCGAGAGATCGGTCCTATGTCACGCGCAATTCCTGCATGGTGATTCCGCCGCCTCTTTGTACTACATCTAAGCGCTCCCTCTTCTTTGCTTCCAAATATGCCTTCCTTTGGAATAATCTTCCGCCTGAAATTAGATTATGGCCTAAGTTACTGGTATTCAAGTCGAAATTACGCAACCATCTTACACCGGAAAGCATAAAGGCACTGTTACCGGTCTCATTCCCGAATACTCAGATTCTTGACTTCGAGAAGGGTCCTCCTGGGATTTAGTGGTAGATTAAGTGGTAACTCTTAATTATATCATTAGAAACCCCTGTTTTGAATTGGTTTCTAAATCCACTGCTATCACTCCCCCCCATAGCGACAATTTTCGCTGTTTTAGATGTCATCTCCCGCATTCCGACCTCATGCGGTCTGTCGACGCTCACGGCGGAACCCTCAGTATTCACTGTCTACTAATAGTTCGGTCGTACCTCCCTTCCTCACTGCTCGGCTGAGCTCGAAGCGTGCTGTGGCCGATCGCATCTCGGTTCCTCTCGTCTGGCCTCTTTGACGCGGCGTACCAATCCGGCCCAGACGATCTCAATTGTGAATACCTAATACAATGCCATATGCAGGCCAGTCCTGTCTGACCCCTACACCCAGAGACTCCTTTACCACAAGCATCACCATCGATAATAACGTCGCCACGCCACCACCAGCTCAGCAACCACAGTCCTATCCTATGGCTACTGCCACCGCATGTTTGCATCACTTATCAACCTGCTACGGCACTCGCGAATCCATGGCACTGAGAGAGGCGTTCTAGTGGCATGCACCCCGCCGCAACCGTCTCATCTGCCAACACTGCCCAAAGATATTTCATCATTTCACGAATCTTTTTAGTCGTAGGCACTTTCATGAAAACATGCAGTTGATGACCACAGACCTTACGCTTCCAACACATCTCGTTCCACCAGTCTAGGTGCCACACTCCCATCCCCTAACAAAACCTAAGACACATGGACAGAGCATACGACGCTCATGTCGGAGCGAAGTATGCCCTTTGTCGCAACCTGGTGTCAGACCGGGTCACGTATGGCACATGTAGATCGACTGTTCAAGCTGTCAGCTACTGCGCTCAGTCCCAAAGCCCGATGACTGATCGGCTCAGACGGTGGACTGTTGCATGTAAGAAGGTAGAGGGAGCAAGCTGCTACTGGAGAATCTGCGTCCGCGGCATCAAAGCAATACAATAATTATGGTAGTCTGATTATATCATGATGCGCTAAGGGTCGTGGCTTGAATTGATGCCAGTCAAATCGACAACTCGATTGTCAAGGTCAGTACTGTGTGTACGTGTGGTGCCTGGATCGATAACTTGGAGACGGACTCAGTGGTTCCTTCGTGATACGGCCCCAGTGGCATCCTAACGAACGTGAATTCCGAGCTCCCGTTTCTGTGAAAGCCAGATACATTTTCCTCAGACAAGGTCGTACGTAACACGCGTAAACTGGTCATTCAGCTCTGTCAACAAATGCGTCCGCGTCCGCCTACTATCACCTTGACATCGCCTGGCCATCGGAGAACGGTAGATGGAGAGAAGAGGGTCCTGTAGACGCAGTGCAAGCCAGCCTCCCTGTAAACTACTTCACCCGCAAATCACCTGTGTACAGCTCTCGACGGCCGGCCTCTCGTCCACTTCAAAACAGGCGTTCTAAGATAAAACGTAGAAATAGGAACCACCACTGTAGTACTGGTGATTATGGGCTAGATCCGGGAAGGATACTTACCATCGTCTTCTAACACTAATCCTCGCCCAAGTCCTAAACTTAACCGAATCCCTAATTTCAACCCTAACTCTAAACTTAAATTCAACTTTAACGCAGATCCTAACACCAACCCCGTCCATTATTTCTTAGGATTACGGCGTAAGACCCTCTATATTGCGGGATTTATTCCTTTACCCTACATTTTTACTATTTAATTAATTTACAACTGCACCGACACTATCGGGTGGGCGTCAGATAATATTGTGAACATGTTTCAAGGTACCTAAACCGAAGACAGAGAGATGACATAAGACTAATAAGCCTATTTTTCCGGCAATTACGTCTTTATCTTCTTTGGTCGCCGTGTTTGGACAAGATATGGCGGAGGCTGAAGTACAATCTAGCTCGAAAATCAAAATGGTCATGGTAGCTTAGCCGTTTGGACTGTTCAACGGATACTCTAGCGCTCAGATGTAGTCGCCTTGCTGTATCAGACGCCTTTATATGACGAGTAGATAAAGCAGTAGGCGCCATTATCACCAATAAGTCAGTTTATTAAGGGAATACTGGCTTTCGCCCTAGAGCTCCTTGTTCATATCTATAAACAGAAATAGAATCACTTGCTACATCAGTAACTTTGGAAATTCAAGTCAACGGTAAGTGCGAGCCTAGCGCTAACTGCCGCCGCTAAGACAGTCGTGATTATAGGTAAAGTAGTTTCTCAGCAGATGAGCGTCTTGTCTGTACTCAAAGGATTCAATAGTTTCGAAAATAACCACCGCATCAGGGAGTTCGTCCCATGCCCCAATGACCCTCTGCAAGAAGGCGTTCCGTCGGACGTCCGTATGGGCCGGATTCCTCTGCAGTTTAAAGGGGTTGTAGTGACCGAGGACGTCAAAGGTTGCACACACCCAAGTAGCGAAGCGCTGGAAAGAGATCCTGGCCAAAGTTGATCTGAATAGGGTCGTCAGATAGACACGATACTCATCGACACATAAAGGAAGAAGGAACGTCAAGTGAGCGAGAAGATATAATGGACAGAGATGGGAATTGAAAAGGCGTATAATAATAGTGAATAGTACAGGTAGAACGAGCTACAACTGTGGAGAAACCTGTCTGGATGGGGAGGCGACTCCGACATTCTAGCTAATTAACCGCTGTGAGCAACTGCAAGGAAGGGCTGAGGGAGGTGGTGACGTAGAAAGATGGCGAGCGATACGGGCGTCATAATAAGTTGCGGTAAAAAGGGTCAGCGGAAGTGAGTGGAAGGGACACCTGTCATCATCACCAGCACGCGGCTAGGCCATCTCCATCCTAGGTCCGCACGTCAAAAAAGTGTTTCCTCATTCAAACAGCCCCATCAAAGTCGTGGGACGTTACGTCGTGATAACGCAGACGGTTGGTCCGGCCAATTTAAAGAATTCGTCAAAATCTAGGGCGCACTCGCGGCCTCAGGAAAACCGGTTATTTTGCATGAGGTCGCCGCGCAGTTGCCTGTAATTGAGAGGAAACAAATTTAGTTCAGCCGCTGACAGGTACTGCCGCACTCACCGATTTGCTTCAAAGACGCAAAGAATTTAAATACTTTCTCGAGATTAACTGTCTGCAATCTGCAAGGCGAAATTTACAGCCGGTAATTACTATTGTTTAACGCAATCGCAATAGTCAAGGTTTGTTTATACTTTCTGGCGGAATTTAAAATATTTGGTAGATGAACGAGAACGAAGATTTCAACGACGAATGTTTAAGAGAGCATAATCGAGTCAGAAGAAACCACAATGTTAAGCCTTTACGCCACAGTCACGCACTTGATCGAACAGCTCAGGAATGGGCAGATAATTTACTGAAAAAAGACGTTGTAACAAATAGCCCTTTGTCCAGCCGCGGCGAACTTGGCGAAAGTATCAGTAAAAGGACAAGTACAAACAATTCAGTCGATATTTCGGGTAAAATATTTTCCAAATAACCGACTTAACTCTTTGCAGGAGCGGAGGTCGTTGCTCAGTGGTATAACGACATACAAAGTTACAATTTTGAGACTGGGGCCGGTGCTGCAGGTTAATAAGTCTTATTTGTAAATTCAAGAGACTACTGTTCTGTTCTTTTATAGTGGTTTGTCATGGCTAAAATATTTGCTCATTTTAATTAGACCGCGTTTACAAAGTAAGCTGTAGATTAATTGACATACACTCGGTTATTTGATGACGGTCATCACACGGTCATATCCCGAGCAAAGACTGTAATGCGTATAGTTAGGCTGATTCAAATTATTGATCTTAAAGTTATGACTGAAAGAACACTTTAATTAGGCAGGATTGGTGGCATGCCCCTTCAGAATATTATGATTTTCACTGTAGTCAATCCGGAAGCCACATGTAGAATGTGTGTCAAAAGGGACGCAGATTGTGTTTTGCGAAGATGATTAGATGCGCCTTACTTTTATAAGAAAAAGGACAAAATTAGGATTAATCGTTAAACCAAGGTTTTCCGTATCACTTGCAAAGAAAAAGCGTTTCTATGGGTGCTTTATTTCCTTGATAATTTAAGTAGTCACCAGGATCTTCTCTGGTTGCTAAGTGCAACGTTAACCAGTTGGTCGCTGTCTGATTTCGAGGATTTGCAGAGTCCCTTGCAGTGAGCCTTCGCTTCAAAAATCATTAGACAGATTTCTGCCTTATTTTTGATACCTAGATAAATAAGATGGTTTTTGAAAAGGCAAAAAAACGCTCGCATGCTTACATTTCCCAAGACGGTTGAAGAGCTCTGTGACAGTCGTATTCGGCATGAGCATGAGCGGCAATAAATATTTGCTACAAACTTCGCACATCTTACAACCGCGTTCGCAGCAGTCCTAATACATTTTACATGTGTAAAATCGGTTTCAAATGTGTTTATGTTGAAAAAGTGTATTTTCTTTAGGAAATTTTACACAGATGGTTTGGGCTCGCACTCGTGAAGTCGGTTTTGGAAAAGCAAGCGCAAGGGGACAGTGTGTTGTTGTTGCTCATTATCGCCCACCTGGAAATATTCGAGGCCGATACCTTGAAAATATTTATCCGCCCATAAGCGCTGAAGAACTTCAACCAAAACAGTCAAATATGGGTGAAAAAGGTACGTCCTTGATATTAAGTTTAAGCAAGGGTCATATAAATGCTCATATATGTGACATCAAAGGTCTCGTATTTCACGGGTTTATGCTGTGTTTCTTTCTATTCTGACGCTCATTTCGGCGCTCCCTTAAGGTTTCTCATGCATCTCCAAAGCCGCAGATACGTTCGGTTTGACAAATAATTCCCAAAATATAACAAATCCGAAAAAATACATATCAAAGCGCTCATTAAAACACTCCTTGACCACTAATCCAAAGCAAGTTAATTCACCAAATATTTTAATAGCCAATTGATAATTTTTCGTATATTTACCACTGGTCTTTTTAGTCGCGTTTTTGTCAGTTCGCAAAGTTCTTCGGAATTCTGATGAAGAGACTTGCCCTACGGGGAACAAATTACGGATTTAAATTAAGGATTTGACTTTACGCTCCCTTAGTAGTTACTTCTGAGATTTTTTATAAGCTGGATATTACCCGATTTGTACATTCCGGACAGAAAAGTACAGTTACTGTGTGCTAACTATTTTTTTGTTTAGATTCAAAGGAAGTCTGGAAAAAGACGTTTACTGAGCGTGAAGTTGATGCAAAAGGCAATCATTTTGATGTTAAAAAGGAGGTAGTTGAAACAAAAGACAAAGAAGGAAACGTAAGTGAGAACTTGGATTTCATCGTATTTTATCCCTTACCCTATATTAAACAAAGCGTTGCTTTTATAAAACCGCAAATACTCCTGTTATGCGTTTTAACACTTGCGCATAATTTCGCTAGATGTTCAAAGTCTGTAAAATATGGAGGACCAATCTTCGTTGCAAACGAGTTGCTCAACTCAATAGCGCGGCGAATTTGTCATGCGGGTGTATTTTTTGCTTTCAAACGAGTGCGATGTATGTATTCTACTTCATTTTACCGTTTTATCTACCACACATATCTCGATAACTTTTTGCAAAATTTACAGATACATCGACGGGTTGTCAGTAGTTACACGAATTGTGATCCATTTTCAATGAATACTCCAGAAACCACGAAATCAACCACTCCGAGTGAAAGAATCGTAAGTTTTTGCAACTATTTGCAGTGAATGTTATTCTAGCGACCAAAGCCAATTTTGGAAATAAAACGATGGTGCTTTTATGACGAAACGCTACTTAGCATAGGAAAAGGTCATTTTAATGGTCCGATGAATCTTTTTTATTTGTGAGTGACTAGTGTTTTTTCGCGGATTTCATAAAAAGGATATCGCGAAAGGTATTCTTTTATGGACCCTAAAAGGGACTTTTTCTCACATGTACGACATTTTGATTGTCGCTTTTAGTTGTATTCAACAGCAACGGCAGCAGCACCACCTCTGTCATCAATCAAACACGAGGAGTTTGTGCAAGAAATTGTGGCAACCCATAACTGGTATAGAGAAAAGCACGGATCCCCAGACCTCGTCCTGAGTTCGGTAGGTTAACAGTCTGCGTCATCTTTCCTCAACGCTGGAGCACACAAAAGTCGTTTAACCAGCGTACTAAGTTTTTTCATAATAAGAGACAGAGAAATTTTATACTTTTGTGACAACTACACGTGTGCTCTGTAAGAGTACTGACTTCTGCATGTGCGCAATGTGTGTGTATGCTAAATGTGCGCCTCTCATGAAGGGCGTGGTGCAATTTACGTGTTTGCGCGGGCTAGCGCGAATTGTTGTTGTTCCTAGTAAGTCGGAGGGTGACACTGTCGCGCCTTGGCATACAGGGCGTCGTCGTTCAGGTCCAGCGAGTGTGAAAATAGAACAAATACTTCCTGGCGATCAAACGCGCATCTTGACTCCAAAAATCGTAGGTGCACGTCAACTGCAACGACCTGCAGTATTGAAAGAGTGCGCAAGTCAAGACGCAGAAGCAAAGAAACTGTCGATTACGAAGCCACCGAGTTACAGTCTCGGATAACTGAACAGCGGCCTAGTGAGCAGTTGCAAAGTTTGAATTTCAGAGGGCTTCTGGAACTATTTTACTTAAATACTTGCACACCAAATCAGTACTGTGCTCTGCCCTCGCTCATCTCTACAATACACCCCCTCTCCTTCAAATGCCAGCGAACAAGTTTTGAACCGGTCATCGTACGCTTCAACCTATTGGCTCAAGACGACTATTTGAACTGGCTGCAGAACATCACACTTAGGTTGCCTGAACTCTAAACTTATTATATCTGTATTTCGCCTGTCTGCTGCATATTGCGGAAGGTAATGGACTTACATGTTTTATTTACTTTTAAGTAACTGGGTCCCAGACTATCGTTTTATTGCCAGCGAGAGACTGTATGGTTAACCCTAGCGTCCAGGCTCTGGCCTGACTACTGGAAAATTTGACAGGGTGAGATAGGAGAAGAGCGGTAACCGACCTCTAGCGTGTGTGAACACATATGCTGGTGGGGGCTCAGAGAATAAGGTTTGGGACCGGTAGTAATAGGTTGTGGCTACATATGTCGCATCAGAGGGAGTATAGACAGTTACTTGAAGGTCTGCTGCTCAGAAGAGATTGAACCGTCTACCTCGCACGCACTGACCGTCAGGATAGGTGCATGCACTAAGAAATGTCGTGGTACTTTGTTGATAGTCAGTCTTTTCATGACCATAGTGCTCACTCATGGCGCGCAACTTCGGTCGAATACATGACAAGTTGGGCCCGTGTCTGATTTTAAATAATGATCCTCAAATTCCAATTAATGCTGACAGTACCTGGCAACTCGCACGACTAAATGTTTATTGGATCCCCCAGGGTCGAATGCAGGCCAAGTCAAAGTCTTGTGTTTTCCTACAGGAACCAGTTAGACTTTACACTTCCAGGTCCATCTATAGCTCATCCTTTTGAAGATAAGGTAAAGTGGTTTACGGAAAGGTAACAGGCAATTTTTCAAAACATTTTCGCTTAACTTTGGAAAAGGTTGAAGAGAAAAAGCTTACCGCAGCCGTAAGAGTAAGGGCATTCTGCGCAAAGGTAGATCCAACAGTTTTTAACAACCGCCAGTTTTTGGCCGTTATAATCAAAGCTGGCGTTCCCATATCAGTGAATGTTTCCACTGAGAACGGTTAAAGGGTCGGTGGACGAAGAACGTTTCTCTCACCAGGAGAAGTGTTTCGGTGTGGACCTCAGAAATGTAGAAACTGAACAGTCTGGAAACGGAACAGGAGGTCGCTTTTGACTTAATTTTTGTCTTATTCCAAAGAAGAGTTGTTTTCGGAATAAGCAGAACCTGGGCAAGACTAGTTTTATTTGTCTGCCTGTCAAAACCTGTCGTTTAGAGAGGTTTAAATTACTACAGACCACACAAAACCTATATTTTAGACAGGAACTAATGATATTTTGCACCCGTTTGAACAGTAAAACAAAAATTCACTCACACTTATGTATGTATATGGCTAGAAAGCATAATGGCGGGACTTTTGCACAATGATCGGAAATGCATTTCGTCGCCACATATATTGACGGAAATTTACACATAGAAAGTAGGTCTTTTACATTATAAAGACAAATCCGTGATGGTTTGTTTTAGCGCCTTTCTAAAATGGCTCAAGAATGGGCGGATTACCTTGTGGACGAGATCTGCCTTTCCAACAGCGGATTTACAATAGACGGCGTGCGTCTTGGCGAGAACATAAGCAGTCGATGGTCAAACGGAACATTCGATGAAAGCGGTAGGCGAAACAACTTTCAAATTAAAATTCAAGTGTTTTTGGGGAAAAGTTAAGTAAAATCTATTGCCCACTACAGCAAAATGTGAATTTATGTCGAAGCATATAGCTGAACCGTCATTCCTTAATGGCATAAAAACAACTGGACCTGTACATCTGAGCTTTCTTACACGGGCATCCATACGAAACTGAAAGAAAGCAACTGCAGCATTCAGGGTAATTTCTTTGTCCTAGGTGATTAAGGGTAATAAACGTTAAAAATGATATAATTTAAGGTGATGTAGAATTATTTAGTTAATATATTCCGAAGGACAACTTCTTCCTCTTATAGAGCGTCAAAGCAATTTCCAAAATCATAAAATGTAAATATGAAACATGCTAGTGTCTCTCCAATCGAAATTCTACACAGTTTATAATTTAATACACACCTTAATTTTTCGGTTAATGTTTCAAAAAGAGTTTGTCGTTTAAAAGAAACGTAGCGGGGGTAAATGTCCCGGTCACGAAACACTGGCTTATTTTAAAACCGGTGGCTTTTGTTTCAATCGCAAATAAATGCCAGTTTACAAGAGTAAATGTACTCACCTTAGGAAGCAAAAGGTTAACTGCTGTTTCAGAAAGGCCCTTTTGTTCTGGGGAAAATTTGCGTTCTAAACTACTTTAAAAACCTCTCCAAGCCTTGGCCGAGGTAACAATTATTTTACACTTGCAAAAGACTTCATGATCTCTTTAAAGCGTTGCATGGGAATTTCAATGATATGCGTTTGAAGCGTCCCAACGCACTATTCTGCAAATTTGAAGCGGTATCGTGTAGTACGACGTTTCGTGGCAAAACTCTCTAAGATTATGCTAATTTATGAGCATTTTAAAAATTGGGCGATGTTATTTAAGGCTACGGAAGAAACTGCTTGGGTAAAGATGGTCGTTTCAAAGAGGAAGACAAAGAAAAAACACGGAGCTGCAGATAATGGGAAGAATTATTTCACTGGAGCATTCTTTGCCAATGATATGGAAGAATAAATGAAGATGTTTGAAAACACAGGATGAGCTTATTTTAGAAAAAGGCAACAAGAAGTGATACCTTATTGCCACTGCGTAAAAAGTAGGAAAACTTGCTTAGCGAGGAGACATGCGACGATATAAACCACCTATTTTGTACGTGCTCAGAGGTTTTAAGAATGGTTGACCACCTCAATACAAGCAAAACTGCCCTTCCTAGTGTGCGGTTTAGTAAGAGGAGGCGCAATCCCTGGAACAGGGGTTGTTTTCGACCGGCAGTATTTAGGGCACGTTGGTACTATGGCACTGCATACCATTCGAATTTGGCGGCTCGTATTCTGGAACTTCAAGCGAATGTATATCTTTTTCTAGCGATCGCGGTCCTTCCTTGCAGTCCACGTTCTCCCTATGAATCGTTGCAGTCAGCCTTCTTCAGAATAACAATAATTTTGTTAAATTGCGAAGACATTACCAACGAAGACAAGGAAGACTGGAATGGACATTTTTGGCTTATTAGTTGCCGTCAGCCGGTCAAACCCAATCCCGAGGTGTGTAACAACTGGAACTCGATTCCGCGGCCTGGTCGTTAGGAGTCCAAGGCACCTAACCACTGGGACACGAACTCATTGTGTTGTCGGTTGCGATCGGGTATATATAAAATGGTAGAAGGGTGCTCACAGATCGCGCGACGAAACTCGTCCCGTCATGCTCCCTCTCGAGCCCGCCGGCAGCCGCTAAGCGGGCGTGATATAGGAAAAATAACATTACCGACAAAGACAAAAGGCCGCTGGCGGGGATCGAGAGGTGACCTCAAGGCGTAACGGGACGCCTGAATTCTGTAGCGTGATCGGTGAGTGCTCTTCTACCATGATCCTAGTAAGCGCATACGATCACCAGCCGTGTTCGATAACCTGTTTGAAGACCTCCCAAAATTTCCAATACTATTTAAACGTTTGCTCGTATTCAGTTTATCTGCAAACTATAGATTATACCGTGTTCGTAGTGACCCCTTAAATTGCTTACATAATTTATTCAAATACAAAGCCATATTCTCTTTACTTTGTTTATCGCGTCTAAAGCCAGCAAAGATACTCATTGTGGGACTTCTGAGGGACTTGTTAAGGCTTTAACCTGCTCTAGACAGTTTGCAGAGGGTCATGTAGTGTGTATTCAGTATAGATACATTTTAACGTGCACGAACGTGTTGCTAGCGTTTTACGATGACAGAGTGTAAAAGCATGGCATTGTATTGTGTTACGCGGGTTATAGTTTTGGGGCGTAAGCTAAAGGATGAATATGCTTTTGGAAAGATATATAGCCGAAAATCTAGTTTCTTTTGATTAATTTAAGTTTTCGTTCGTGATATTTTCTGCGATTTCAAGGTACTTTATATTGGTTTTAGCAAATATAATCATAAACATTAGTCGGCATCAAGAATAAACTGCTAAGTGAGATATTGCGCAAAAGAGACGGCATCGCTTTTTCCTTGACAGATATATGTTTAGCTTCACAGACTATGGGCAAAGACTGTTTTTTTCCTTTAATGTAAGGCGATAATTTGTAATCGATGGTTTTGGGTCTTGTAAGATAGCTGAAGGCGCATTGTGATAATCACTACCTATCTTTTTCTATGAAATGCTACTTCATTTTGAAAATTCGGGAAAGCGATTTTGTTCGCCTTGATTATTGATACTAAATACTAAGTAGCACCTTTATTCGATTTCGCTTCTTAACCGTTTTTATCTTTCGTTGACAACTACGATCGTTTTTTTTGCATGAGTGATGCCAAATAGAGCTAATTTCAGAGTATTTAATGGACCACAATTTCACTGGCCAATCTTTTTACTGGTAGTTAATATGGTATCGGCGAGAACGATTACACCTGAGATGTAGCTGATCTGTTTTAAATAATGAACAAAGCAGACCAATAAGGCATGCGAGTGACACTCAAATTCTGCAGATTGTTCTCCGAAAAGGCCCATATATGGCAAATGGACGCAAATATTCAGAAAAACTACCTATGGACTTTTAGTTTGCCTCAAAAGAAGACAGAAACTTCAAATTTGTGAGAATATCGCAGAAACAGACTATTTTTATTTCCAAACTACGGATAAAATAACCACTCTGGTCGAATACGAAAGGGGAACGTTGAGTGTAAGAGAGCTGTCAATAGATGTACAGGTTTTGGAGACAATTTAGTATGCGAGACCCATAAATCTCGTTCGGATAGAGAAGCATATGCGGGCTTGTTAAGATACATGATCATCTTTTATAACTCCAGTACAAGAATTCTGCTATTGCTGTTTGCGTGATTTCCTGACGAATGTGGGTTTAAAACATCTTTTTACAGCAAAGGACGTCGTAGACAACTGGTATCAGGAAGCAACTCGTTTCAAATACGGAACAGAACCAACAAGCATTCAGGGAATCGGTAAGTCGACTGAGTGAATGTTGCAGTTTTTCACTAGCATGGACTACGCTTTTTGCTTTGGCTTTGTTGTAGAAAGGTGTACTTTGAAGGTGAAGTAGTTTTAAGAGCTGCAAAAATTTCCATGGAAGGTTCCAGTTGGCGAGAATACACATGCTTTCGGCAAATTGTCGTCGGGCTAGTGCATTTATATGGAATGAAATAAAAACAAAACATGCGAGATAAAAGAAGTCAATTACAGTCCGTCTTGCCATATGCTTGTGTTGTAGGAACATGGGGAGGAAGAAAAAAGAGACGATGAGTTAGAGAGCAGCGAAAGTTAGAGTGACGAGGGAGAGGACGCGAGGGGCACATGCAGTTAACCGCCCTTTGGTTACGGTAGGCGTAAAATTTGTGCGTTTTAAAACGTAGTAGAAACAATTCGCAAAGTTGGCTAATTGCACTTAGTCTTCGCGGCTTTTAACTTTGTAAGGACTGATTTGAAAATGCAGTCGCATTTCGAAATTATTTTTGGCCTAATCGAATCAGTAATGGCGAGAGGTCATAGAGATATTGTAAATAATATGACAAGGAGCAGGAAATTAAGCATCAAACTAAACGAAAGTGCATTATAGCAGTGCATAGCTGAGTTTGACAGGAAACCATATAACCACACATTTCCGCTGAAAACTTTGTCTACTGTTTTGCACAGCTGGCATGCGTTGCTTCGTTAAATAGGGGAATGAGCACCCAGTGAGAGAACAGAAGTCGAAAATTCGATCCAACTAGGATCATATGATTTTGAGCCGAGTTACACCTCTCCTACCCACTGTCTGATACAACAAGGGTATTGATCGCTACCAACATAATGTCTCAAAACGTTAATTGGCAGTGCCAGTTTTGCAAAATGCGTCCAGTTAGGGGACAGCTAAACACCTGCTTTTAAAATTTTCCTTTGAGAAGTCGCTGTCTCACTTTAACTGCGTGGCGAAATTAGAATATACTCTTTGTATCTACTGGGAGAATGAGCTACACATTTAAATTTTAATGCAAGTTGCTGAGAGCCAACATTCAGCACTTCACTGATCGTATACTTTGCACGGTAACCAAAATACTGTTAAGGGGTTAAATGTGTTTAAATATACAACGAACCTAAACAAGGTGTTTTTTTATCAGTGTATGTTTAAGCTAACTGCTTAAACAGATGCCTTTTTAGAAAGGATTTCTGCTGTGTATTGAATATATTAAAACATTGGGCAATCCCTTAGTAAATGTGAGCAGTGGGTTTCAAACGAAGTAGAACAGAGTCAGCTCTTCTGATAATCTGGTCAGAATAAACCAGACAATCTTAAAATAACCACATTAACCACGATTTCTGCAGGCAACTTTACTCAGTTGATCTGGGCCTCTTCGAGAGAGATCGGTGTGGGACGGACTATTCGTGTCTCCGGTCCGGATATTGCCGTGGGCGGTGTGTCTGTCGAAGGCTCTGAGAACGCTGCCTTCTCGGCCAAAACGGTCGTTGTCTGTTTTTATTTCCCACCAGGCAATATAACAACAAAGTTCTGCGAGAATGTTCAATCCCCGATGCATGAATCGACTAACTGTGGATCGGTTTCGGAAACAGAAAGAATCTAAATACGTCGCCTTTGCCATTTCGAAGGGGTAGAACAGGTCTGGCATTTCAAGTTTATGATCAGTCTTCGGTGGCAGCAGCGAAAAGAACATGGCGGAGTCGGCTGTCCGCATGTCCATTTGCTGCCTCAGCAGACATTTTCGAGCTTCCTACTTACAATACTTACTTTTTCAATTATTTGTACTGCCTTCTGTATTTCCTTGAAAAGTATTTTATATTAATCTTTTATCTCCAGCAAACGATTATCGTGAATGAAGTCTTGACAGAAAGTTGTAAGTATGTTGCTGAGGACGGACCTCTATCCAAGAGATACTATGTTCAGCCCGAATCCAGCAGCTGGAATCGTTAGATATCATCGCCAACTTTTCATTTCGTCCTAAAACCTCAAATGGAGTTGCACTCAGAATGCAAGAGATGAATTAAGGTTTTAAATTTCAACACACGCACTCCGGTTCGTTGCGTCTAAAATTTTGCGAAATTACATTGCTGAGTGGTAGTACATGCTGGTGATACTGCACAGCACAACATTTCACATAATTTAATGAGGTCGATCGATTTTCAGTTGAAGCAACTGTAAACCTCACTAGTGAGTGAAAATAATTTATTCCAGGAGGAGAAGAGGGAGGTTTGCGTTAAGAGCAAAGGTGACGAAACCGGTGGGTAAACCCCCCTGCCATATATGCTTTAAAAACCTCGAGGTTGTATTGGCTGTGAAGCATTCGAGAGTACGACGCGAAAACTTCAAATATCACGTTGCAATGCACAATTCTGACTTAGGGAAATTGTCTTCCTTTTAAAGGAGACTAGCAGAAAGTGTTTGGGAAAAAAGATCAAGGAATAATTTCTCGTAATTAGCGCATTACGAAACCTAGAATTGACGTCGGCAATTTATTTTAATTGAAGTAATACACTAAGGATGACTACGGGAATCACGGAATCTGGGTGATGATGACCAATATCGGCTGACAAATAATGCGACGATCCGGCGAACAACTCAGCTAAAAACTTAACGGGCGATAATCTAGCATATTATTTCCACTAGACTAGCCTGAAATATCTTTCAGTTATACGGGCCACTAAAGTGTGGGGTGCCTTAGGCCAGGGCTATAGTCCCTGCCAACGACGGTTGCTAAGTCACTTTGCGACTCTCTCAATGCTAACTATTGGAGCAGATTTTAGCTACCCGTCCTTGATCGACCGAAATACGCTTCGATTAGCTGGTTTCACCTTTGCGCACTTACGAGTTAATTTACAATTTAAATCAGGTTAACCGAGAATACTGGCTTTCTGAGTTTACGTGAGCTTGTGGACTAAGGAGATGCTGCAGCGCTAAGGGCGAGAAATTTCATTGAGCAATTTCCATAACAGAAAGCGATAACAATAGTTCAGAATTGATAATGACAGTACTTATGTTTTACGACCCATCAAAATATATCCGAGAACATAAGAAACTCATTTGAATTGATAACAAAGTAATTATCACAAATTGCAATATATAAGCCGATCACTAGCGGGAAAAATCAGCGAATACTTGTAAAATAAGGCGGGGATTTTCTAGCATAGATGTGCCGCTTATGTCTGAAATCTGTGGACCGTAATTGCTGAGTAATATTTAAAGTTTGAAGAATTGCTGAGACACCGTTCGCTGTATAAATTTTTCATGCCGTAATGCTGGTTCTCGATGGCCTGGGTTTAGCAGTGCAATGGTTTATTCGATATGTATGAGAAGCCGATCTCATAAAATGTTGGCCGAAATTCTGAAATGCGTTTTCAATTAAGAAAAATCACTTAGGTGGGCTACTAACATTGCTTATTATGCGGCAAAATGTTGTAATATTCCGGACTTGGCAAGATGTTGGCTTTTGAATGAACTTCTTTTCGACCTCCTGTAGAAAATGCAAAAGACGGCTACTTAAGTAGCATGTATTTTCCACATTGATTTTCGATGGTCTTATAAATTCGAATATATTTTATAAAAAAAAACAGATTAAAATATGCTTTCTTTGACTCGTTCGATAAAGAAACACGCCAACTTAACATTTTATACTCGAAGAAGGAGCATGGTTAGGTTTTTAAAAAAGTTTCTAATCATGAAATTTTTTAAGGCCGCGCAATGTTTATTCATACAGCATCGTACCTGTCCGTTTACCATTGCTCATGAAATGTACAAGAGAGTCCGCATACATTGCAAAAGTTTGTGAAACCTATATGGCCTCGTTTTAAAGGCGCAAGGAAATGTATGATTTACCTTACTCGAAAAGCATGCACCTCGTAGGCTAAAATCCCTAAACGCTAATGCAATGGCTCACCAGGCTTAAAATTACCCGGGAGTTGGAAAACCTTTTAAAAACCTAACCATGTCCCTTCTTTGAGTATAAAATGTGAAGATGACGTCTTTCTTTATCGAACGAGTCAAAGAAAGCATATTTTAATCTGTATTTTTTATAAAATATATTTTAATTTATAAGACTATCGAAATGCATGCTACTTACAGAAGATATGCTAACTCATGAAATGCCAACCAAAATTTCGAACTGCGTTCCCGTTTCAAAAAGATAAATTAAGTAATGCTGTAAAACTAACAATGATGCAGCACAAATCTATAATGATCCAATTACCTCAGGGTGTCGGCTTTCGAAAGAACTTATTTTCGGCTGCATGCAAGATCTATACTCTGCAAAAAATGACTACTTAGTTGGCATGCAATTTTCTCATTGATTTACGATGCCCTTGAAAATTCAATTATGTTTCATGGAAAACATGCATAAAAGTATTCATTCTTTTACTTTTTCGGTAGAAAATCACGTTTTCTTCCAATTTCATACTTAAAAGAAGAGTATAATTTGGTTTTAAAAAGTTTCTTATTGTGAGATTTTTTAATACCATTAAATGGCCGTTCATGAAACGTCATGTATCTGCTTTTACAAGTGTGGCTTGTACAGTTAACAATATTTCTCAAATCCACTGCTTAATTTTATGAACCTCATATGGTCTCCTCTTAACACCGTAGAGAAATGCATAGTTTTCCGTGCACGGAAAATATACAGCTTGTAGTTTTGAAACCCTGAATGCAATTGTTACAGCAGGTCGGGTTCAAAATTATTCGGGAATAAGAAAAGTGTTTTAAAACCGAATTCTTCTCCTCTTTTGATTATGAAATTGGAAAAAGACGTGATTTTCTACCGAATTAGTAAAAGGATGAATATTTTTATGCATGTTTTCCATGAAATATAATTGAATTTTCAAGGGCATCGAAAATCAATGAGAAAATTGCATGCCAAATAAGAAGTCATTTTTTGCAGAGTATAGATCTTGCATGCAGCCGAAAATAAGTTCTTTCGAAAGCCGACACCCCTGAGGTAACTGGATTATTATAGTTTGGAATATTACAACATTTTGCCGCATGATAATCAGTCTTTGAAGCCCATCTGGGTAAATTTTCTGTATTGAAAACGCATTTCAGAATTTTGGCAAACATTTCATGACATCGGACACTCACTATCTAGCCTCATCTATAAATATTTTGCAACGATCGTTTACTAAATTCGATACAATGTATTTTGTTTATAAAAGAAAAGCCTGACTCATCGTCATTTATTTTACCAGAACGATCTGTGCAGACTAATCTCGTCAAACGAGTTTCAGACGTAACTATGTACACAATCAAATGTTCGCAAGTATTCGGAGGCGGCTCCTAAGGCATCCTACCTAATAAAGGTGTGCCGAGAGTTTCCTATGCATTAAACATCATTTCGACAACGTTGCAAACAAATTATGAACCCTTAAAAGGACAAATCAACAAGTCGGTCTGCAAAACGCATAAATTATTACCCTTTTTAGGAAGCAAAGTTGTCAAACCCTTCAAAGACAAGTTTACGCAGAGCGCAAGGTCCTTTAGGATACATAGCAGTAGCGTATTCGCGTCACCCATTCCGAAAAGAAAAGTCTTGTTTCGTCCAAAGTGTAAACCATAAATTATCACACTAGTTGAGTAGGTTATTTATAGCAAAAACAGTGCAAGTTGCTCGAGAAGGTTTAGGGGAAAACCAGAGCACCATGTGGTAGTAATTAACTCGCGACAGT